GGAGTTGGAGTTGAAAAAATCTGAACTCAACTCAACTCTAATCTAATAAAAACGAAACTCCAACTCAACTCCAACTCCACTAAAAAGAAGCTCAACTCCGGAGTTGGAATTGCCCATCTCTGGTAGCTATACATTCCTCTTGAAACTTTTTTGCTATTTCTTTATACAAATTCAAATGAAAGTCTGATTGTTTACTTTTACGATATAATCGACACTTTCTTTTATATAGCACGCGCAACTTATCATTAAACCAAATTTTATCTCGCGGTTCAATAGTTATCACTTTATGATCACATATTTCTTAATGTGTTCTAACAATGTTTCGTCGAACGCTTGCATTCTTTCACTAACATTGTTATAATTTTTTAGAATTTGATCTACAGCAATCTCATTAAAGCGTGCATTTTCCATCTCCCAATTTGCCGGACTATAATCATAAACAGTGCGAATAACTTTATTTTTACGAGTGATATTCAAATTTAGATTAATTCTATAAAACTATGATCGCTGTTACTTAAAGGTGGTTCAATAACTACAGATTCAAGAAATTTGTCTAGCAAGATTCCTTCTCTTGTTGAAGGAAAATTACTTTTTGCCCAAGGTTGAAAATGTGCATTGAAGTCTCCTACACGTCTTTGTACTTAGATTTGCCAAACTCATCTAAAATAGTACTTAAACGGGCGAAGAGACGTTGCATAGTAGTCGTTTTAGGACGATAAATATTTAAGATTGTTACATGTTGTCGATTCATTAATGTTAAACGAATCGCATGAATTTCAAACGTAGCCTCTTCAAATTCTACAAGTCTAACTGAGTGAAAGTCTGTCCGAACATAAATTGCGCAACCTTCTTCATGACGGTTACGATCAAGACGCCAAGGAACATGATGTTCAAAAAAATTTATATCATTATCAGTGACAGTGTTATCCAACCATGTTTCAGTGAGACAAACCATTACTGGTCTGGCCAGGGATAAACAAGCGTTGACAACATCCTTTTGATGTACTAGACTTCCTATGTTCATTGATGAAAGTTTTATACTAGCAGACGCATTACTCGAATTTTCAACTATGGTGGAAACAAAATCCTAACCGCATCTCCATCATCACACAGTAATATATCGCCAAAACACAAAGCAAAAGCAAAAGCAGAGCAAAAAAAAGTAGATGAAAAAAGTTGTACTAGCCTATCCATAAGTAAGGAATGTGAATCACAGTTATTCATCCAATTTAACTAAACCATCAATATCTGGCACCGAACGAAGCAAACGATAGTTTGCTTTGGACATATAATAGTAAACATTACCATTAAGTGTAAATACTTGTTGTTTATTTAGATTTTGTTTAGCGTATTGAAAAGTATGATTGTTCAATGGTGTTAAATGTTCATTAATAAATACATTCTTATTTCTGTCAGTAAAACGTAGAAAACTAATAATAATAGCTTGTCGCGATTTATCTTTATCTCGTTTAGATATTGGCAAACGATGAATAGCATAAAAATCATTTTTGTTCAATTGTAATTCAACACTAGCAGCTAATTCTAATACTATATCATATGTATTTTCATTTTGTTTAAAAGGTATACTATACAGTAAAAGATCTTTTCTTTTACTATACTGTGCTAAGTCATTCGTTTGACCTTGTAACAGTAAAATGTTATCATTCGCTTTCTTTAGTTCAAATTTCAAATCTTCAACTTGATAACGAGACTTATTTACAGCTTCTTTAACTACTATAACAATAGAGTTAGTAAACAAATCCGAGGTTAGTAATGAATTACACATTTGCTGAACAAAAGATAGAGACGAAAAAATTTCTTTAACCATTAGAGTTAACGCTAAGCTTTCGACATTAGCTGACATTGCAGTTGTAGTTGATTGTCTTAATTTTTTACTAGATGTTTGTGGTGGTGATGGAGGACTACGCTGGTGACCAGATTGCATAAAAAACGAGTTGTTTACGTTGTAACTGTAATCACATTACCAGATTATATACTCAAGCAAAAACACGTCTGATCACCATGAAAAAGTACCCGAGAATCAAGTATGAATGTTGTTTATTGCCACTTAATGACTAATGAAATACAACTATTTTACGAGGTTCACTTTTGACATTTCAGGTTCTTTCCAAGAAAAATTTTACAACTCACCCCAGCGATACTTTTTCCACTTCAAAAGTGCGTCAAATACTCTGCTTGACAACGACCACCCACTATTGATACATACGTAAAAGAGTGAGGGTAAGAAACTAAGAATCGTTCTATCTAGCATATCTTCTGCGATTAATGTACGTCATCATCATGCAAAAATATAATTAAAACATCGTCTCTTTCCGTAAAAGAAAAGAATGGCCTCGATCGTTTTTTGGATAACTAAGAAAGGAAAGGAGTAAGAACGGTCAGATTTTTACCTTTCAAAGAAGGAGAGTTTGGCACATTTTTTTGTAAGAGATGTTAATTTAAAACTATTTTCTAGCTTAGATTTTTTTAGGAGACCTTTGGAACATCATGTCATTACTCAAAAAACTTTAAAATATCTCGTTTGCTTTATTTTCATTGATAGATAGCTCAAACCCCAGTAAAAGCCCTGTGAGTTTCCTGACAGGATCCGAGACTTATCCTATCAGTATCCTACTAGGCTTTTGCTTTCTTAGGATCCTAATAAAATCCTACAGAATCCTAATAAAATCAGGTACACCCTAAAATCATAGAATTTTCTAAGATTGTGTTAGGATCCTAAACACACTCAAGTGAAATCCTAGTAGGATCCTGCTATGAAGTTGTTCGGTGGGTTCTAAATGTTAGGATCCTGTAAGATCCTAGTGGAAGACTGGCAGGAAGTGCGCAGGATTTTGTCGATTTAAGTGTGTGCTTTTCATAATGAAAGTCAAACGACACCTTGGTTTACAGTAGTTTAGACGTGACATCAGTATTCCTGGATGCCTCAGGGCTTATATGTAGTGGCTTTTGGCAGCATGGATATCAAATTGAACATAGGACATTGGCCACGCTGAATCTCGTGGCATTATTTGTTTGTTGGAAAAAATTCAAAAAGTTAGAGAAAATTGACATGATCTAAAATAACTCATGTTAGGCTATTTTTGCCTAATATTAAAAAATTCATGACTATATCACAACTGATCACAACCACTTGATAATGTCAGAAGATAATTAATCGAAACTGGTCTATGTAAGATTCAAAATGAGAACTAGAAAAGTTTCAAGAAAAGTTATTGGTTTTCTCACTGAAGTTCCAGTATCTTTTGTACAGATAGCGCCCTTACTTTACGACCTCACTGCAGGATTTGCAAAAAAAATTCGAATTTTCTAGTAAAGTGTATTTTTTTCCGTCGGAAAAGCGTTTTTTCAGGACAGAAATGACATATTCAGAATCAGTACGTCGAGTTGAATGAAATCGTGTAACAATGCAAGAAGTTTTGGATGGGAAAATATCCGTCGAGATTTTTTTTCACAAACCTGTAAGACTGATTTTTTCTTAAAAGCATTAGAGATGACGAAGCAATGATAATTTTTCATGAACAAATGGTTGCCCACGATGTCCCCTTTAATTTAGTTGATATAAGTTGTTCTCATAAATGCGATAATAACGAAACTTTTTATTGTCATCTTGCAACTCCACAAAAAATTAGACAAGAGTAATAGTCAGTGCTATTTAGCTATTCTTGCTGTTTCTGCCACTTCTTATTCTTAGTGTTTGTGTCTCTGTATATGTGTGCGTGTGTATATGTTAATCATTAGAATGTCTGTTCTAATAATTATTTTGACAGTATATTTCTTCCTTCTGTCATCAATATATACATCGATTATCAAATATGTAGTGCAGCTGTTTGAGATGATAACATCATTTTTTGTCTGTCATGACATATTTTGCTCTTAGTTATAAACAATAAATGACATTGTTATCATCCCATTGACGTTACAAAAGTGTTATAAATGTTATCCTCGTGAAAATACTTTTAAATATCTCGAATGGATGATGTTCAACTTATGAAATTTGTTATTTTTAGTAATTAATTAGCTATTTTCTTTTTTCATATGTGTACGATAGCTGACAACAGCCGGTTTCAAGGTCTATTGTCTATTACAATAGAAAGATTTTTTTCTCTTCGCTTTTCTCTATTCGAAAATCCTAAGGGTATAGTCTATAGTATGTTATTTATGTGTTACTGATTAGAGTTTCGTTTTTTTCTTTCTTTCGTTCGCCATTTTCTTCCGTTTATACATGTAACGAGAAAGACAAACTGCTCTTCACACATTTATCTAATTTTCTAAATACAACTATTTGCACGATTTTAACTCAAGTATATAAGAAGAAATAAACTTAATTACAAATTAATAATTAATATGTGGAGGAGAAGAAGAAGATGAAAAAGAACATTTCCACACACCGGTGGGAAATCTTTTCTATAGTTTATTCACGCTCGAATAATGGGTGTATGTAATGCTAAGATGAACAAGCAACTACCAGGAATAGAACAAAAATCTATTTAAATCAGTTGAGTATCAGTAAAGAATCTATAATTATGATAAAAGATGATAGGTATATATACATATGTGTGTTTGTGTGACAAGACGAGTAATTTTATACTTTTAAGTTGTTATTCAAGATTAAGAGCGTATGAAGGGTCACTTATTCATATGTTAAATACAAAATAAATAAGGTAAGGAGAATAAACTGTTACTAAGTCTGTTACATTGATGATGCGCGTTCATGTCTGTGAGAAAGAGACAACGAGAAAAAAAATTTGATCATATCAAATGATTATCATCATTATCATGAAAAAAAAAATAAATGAAATATTTGTGAGAAAGATGACTAGTTCACTCAACTGACTAATAAATCACGCTTCTATATCCTCTGAAAAACTTTCACTCTTAGATAAAAAATTGAACAATACGATAGAAATTAATAAGCTTTATATCTATCTATCATATAATAGAAAATATTCCATTTAAAGTTAACTCAATTTTGTTGATTGCTTTTCTAGAGGATATAATTATTCATTTACAAAAACATAAACAATTTCTTTCTTCATTTTCTTTCTACTTTTTGAACGTACGTTCAGATTAAACTTGATGTTTTTATCATAAAGACACTTCCTTCCTGTCATTCGTTGATCTCATATGACATACCTATATATCTCTGATGTGAGAAAAGAACAGGAAAGAATAAAAAACGATGTTCTTGATTTTAAAGCTAACAACAAAATCGTTTCCGAATTTTGAATGTTGTATAATCGAGAACAAAATAAGAAAAAGGTCAAAAAAAATGAACAGTCGTATAACTTAACGAATAATTTGATTATCGATAAAAAGATCGATCAAGTGGAAAACAAAAAAAAAAAAAAAAAAATGAAATTGTATTGATTCTATAACAGGAAAAATACTCTTATAATTCATTAATAACAATCAGACTCTCGAGAAATGACACAAATTTATATAAGTTGATCATTTTACTCGCCTCATTTCTAGAAAAAAAATCATTGAGATATAGTCATTTTATTTTCATTATAACTTTTCCTATTTCTTAAAATTAAATATATTTTTTTCTGTACTATATCTGATAAATTTTATTTATTTATTTATTTAATTTAAAAATTTAGTCTAAAATTGTTTGTGAAAACCAACATGTTGGTATCCACATTGGTCTGTATTGAATATCAAGAATAAGTGTTTTTAATTGTTGATATGTTTGTTCCATATCTATATTACATAATGTTTTATCAAATAAATGACCATATTTCATTTCTATTTGATGACCTTTTTCAATAACATCAAGAAAATCAATATCTTTCATTTGTATTGTTTGATCATTTATTTTTAATAATTTTAATTTTTCTAAATTTGGTGGTTGAATATAAATTATATATGGTAATATATTTGAATTTCTTAATGATAATAATGCATCTGGATATAAATTTAATATACAAATTTTATTTAATTTATTACAACAATTTTCAATTGATTCTTTTGATGTTCCATAAAGATTTTTTTCATATTCACCATATTCAACAAATTTTTTATCTTGAATTTGTTGTTCAAAAATATTTCGTGATATAAAATAATAATCTTTACCATCAATTTCATATGATTTTCTTGTACGACTTGTATGTGGAACAGCAACATCAATAATTGATGATAAATCAGATGAGAGCATAAGACGTTGTCGAAGTTCATGACGACCAATTGATGATGGACCAATGAGAACAATGGGACGTTTACGATCGGAACGTGGTATATACCATTGAATATGAATATAAGTAAAAATATCACATAATGAGCTAAAATTTTATATAAATTAAAATATATTTTTTTTATAGGGTGTTCGAAAAAAAAACTTACCTCCTCTGTATTTATTGACTTTCTTGTGTACAAATATAATTGATTCTTTTACCATCCATTTACTCGAGTAGAGCAAAAGATTTCTGGACAAAATAAGATGTCTCCGAGTTCTCTACGACCTTTTCTCATAAACCAGCATTCAATTTACGAAAGGTCTCACAGCACCAAAATCAACGGGAAAACAAGAAAGATACGCCCGTAGGGCCTTCCGTAAATTGAATGCTGTTTTATGAGAAAAACTCTTAGAGAACTCGGAGATATCTCATTTTGTCCAGAAATCTTTACTCTACTCGACTAAACTTATGGTAAAAAGATCAGTTATATTTGTACACAAGAAAACCCATAAATACAGTGGAGATAAGTTGTTGTTTTTTTTGCAACATCCTGTATGTATATTTTCTTACTTTTTTGTTTGTATTGTTTGTTGTTTCATTTCATATTGTTGCTGTTGTTCACTGGATTTTCTACAACATGAACGAATCATTTTTAATTTTTTCTTCTTTAAATCATCTCTATTTTCATCATTATCATCTAATAATGTTTTAATCATTTGAAAACGTTTTTCTTGAAATATTTGTGATGGTATTAGGCCAGCTAATTGTTGTGTTTCATCTTCATCAACTCTATATGCTTGCCACCAATTTATATCTTGTTGATTAACAACATGTAAAATATCTCCATAAGAAAAGAATAAACCTAAATCTTTACATGGTAGATAAAGATCATCATCAGGATCATATTTAAATAGAGTACGAATATAAAAATTAGTTAAAAATGAATCAGAAATAAATGCTGAATTTATTTGTTGTTCACATGGTAAAATAATAAAAATTAATTTTCCATGTAAACGTTGAATAAGTTCAACAACATCATTAACTGTTCGTCCTCGAATAGAATGAAAATTAATTTCAAGAATTTCATCATTAATTTGAAATAAACTTTTATCTTGATCACATATACCACCATTAATTATACGTGAAATAAAAACTGAATCATTTTCTGAACGAATGGTACAACCTAATGGTTCATCGAGACGTTTATCGATACGGACGATTTTTAATTTTTGACTTGAATATTGTTCAAGTTTTGATGCATAAAGTTTATGATTTTCTTGATCTGTAGAAATATGACCATCACCAGTACTTTGAATAATCATTGTCTGAGAGTACGACGAAGATGATGAGAGTGGTAGAATAACATCATGAATTTCTTCTAAATTTTCAGTTGATTGAGGAGAATCGGTTGAAATAATGATCAACTACAATGATAGAATAAAAATATTTGATGTATTGAATTAGTTAATAGAGAGAATATACGTACGTACTTTTGTTTCTTCACAAAATTTGTCAGTGTTACTCTGAAAAACAAAAAAAAAAATGTTTTTTTTGTGAATACATTGACCATATTGATAAAAAAAAACAAAAAAAACTATGTACAAGTGATGTTTACAACAGAAGATTGTAAAATAATAAGTATATTTGAGTTTTGTCTAAGAATCTCTTGAGATTAACTTTACATTTAAATGAATCGATTCAATTTATTGTATAATCATCACTAACCTTTTATCAATGTCTTTTTTTTTTCCAATGATCTCTCTAAGGGTTTCAAAAACAATGTAAAATTAGTGTCAATAATTCAACCTTATCATCATCTCTTTTTCTCATACCTTATCATCATGTTTTATCGATGATGTTCTGCTAATTATTCTTTGTTTAATATTTTGTTCATTTGTTATACGATCATACGTTTGATCATATGTTGTACCCAATGATCGAAATATTTGATTATTTAATATTTCTAATAATTCATTCCATTCATTATGTGTTTTTGTTAATTTATAATCGATTAATTCATTTAGAAGAGTATCAAAACATATTTGTCGAATATTATCCGATATAATTGATATTGTATCATTATTTTGTTCACATTTTAATTCTAATGTTGTTTTTTGTGATAAAGAATCGGTTGTTATTGTACTATTACTACGTGTTAGAATAACATCGGGAAATGAAGTTGAAGAAAGTGTTGATGAATTGGACGGTGGCTGTTGTTCAAATAAATGTGTTTCTACTGTTACACCAACCATTTTTTGATATAAATCAAATGTATTTTGAAATAGTCGTGTTTGTAAAATTTCTTTCAATTTTTCATAATCATTTAATAGTGAATCAGTCACGGATGAATTAATCCTCTGCTGTTGTTGACCGTTAAGTTTAATATTGAATGAAGACGACGTTGAATGTGGTTGTTGTACAGTAGAAACATATTTTTTCACAAATGACATTTTATTTTTAGTTTTTTCTCGTACACTTTCTCTCTCTCTCTCTCTCTCTCTGTCTCTCTCTGTGTCATAAATATAGACGAAGTTAAAAGTGTATCAAATGTCCAATACACCTAGAAGGTATGTGCACATATACAACACATGTGGATTATGTTCTGTTCTTTTTTTACTTTAGTTAATGTTCAAGAAAATGAAGAAGAATAGAAGCGAGGGAACTTACATTGAATATGTGCAAATATTTGTAGAAGAGAGTGGAAATAGGGAATGAGAGAAAAACGTAAGTTATATGCAATAAATATTCAATTCTCGATGGACACTATTCTTCGTCGACATGTGTCGTTTAATTGAATATTGTCTATATCCTCTCATCTTCATTCATTTTATTTTTCAGCTTTAATAAATACCGAGATTCACACTGCCTATGATAAGAGAAGGAACTTGATCTTACTCTAAAGCCACTTGTTTCTAGTGACAGTAAACTATAATAATGATTATTGTTTACGTAATAAAATAGTCAATAATGAAATATATAGGGGAGAAAAAGAAACTCACTTCTTTACTGTATACACAACAAAATAAGACAAGAAGTAAAGATAAGAAAAAGGAACAATTATTATCATGGCAGAAAACAATAATTTTATCACTAAAAAGAGAAGGAGGGAAAAGATGTTTCATTTTTTCTTTTTCTTCTTCTTGAAACAGGAAAAAGAAATATGTTACTCAGTTCTTTATATTAAATAGCAATATATAGCATTATATCTTCCTAAGAGAAACGGAAACGAAAAGTGAAGATAACGAAGTCTGTTGCTATTCTGATTATTTCTTTCTCTTGATGAATAAGTGATTATTGATTATATATATTCGAGAAAATAGAAAATATCAAAAATCACAAAATTAATGAGCAATAGATGTGTTAATATGAAAGAAAAAAAGATAATCATTACCTTGACTTGTAATTAATAATAATTACTACTTCATTTTTAACGTTGGAATCAAGGCAAAATTTTATTATAAAGTACTTCCTTCTGTTTCATAGAAAGTATGTTATATGTACAGAAAAATGAAGTAGTTGGTATTTTTTATCTTATCTTGGAGATGGCATACGTTATACATCAATTGTCTACGCTTTCTAATTCAAAGGGCATAGTTTACACATAAAAAACGAGCTTTTTGATATTAAAGAACTTCCGATCAATGGTAAAATCATTTTATAATCTTTAAAGATACAACTTGTATAGAATGTTTCTCAGAATAGACGTGCACAATTCTATTTTGACTACCAACTCAAGTCGATTTTTCATGAAAAAAATTGTGAAGAGAACTAGAGGAAAAAATCGATCTTAGATGTTGGAAAGAGGTTAGTAGCACATCAAACCAGCACGAGAATGATTTGAATAGACAACTGTAATCTTTCTCATACTCAACTAGCAGCATGGAAACTGAAAAAAGATTATTACACACAAATTTATTATATGACACACACCTTGTATATATTTGATCGTATCGTTAAGTTGGTTCATGAGCTATCCTTCAGTTGTAATCGTTTTTTTCCATTTGTGTATTCAGTTCATAAGTATTCGTTGCTGAACATTCTATTCTTGTAAAACGATCTGGTCCAAAAAACAAACCTTGTCTTTCTCATCGTAATTGTTAATGACTCAAATATTGCGTTTATCCAGTTATTATGGCTCTAATATGTTTTTTCAATCACTGTTCCTTCAATCCATTCTACCATATTTTTGTATTTTTACACCACACTTATTCGAATACGAGACAAATAAAATACTCATGGTCAGTATGCTATTCATCATTTATTTGATTGGAATTAATAATCGATGATCATGATAGGTAGCAGAATAAATGAAGAGTATCTCTCGATTTTTCTATAACGAATATGAAATCATCGTTCGATACATAGAGTATCAGATTTATTGTTCGAAGAATATTTTACGTCAAGAAGAACGAGCAGAAATTTTTACTTCGTTCAATTCACTGAAAGTACTTTGTAAAATTATCTAACTTTGTTACAGATAGATAAAGCACATTCTTCACCTTTAGTTTACTGAAAAACGACTTTACTGTTGCGTTATTTCCCTTCTGATACGATATAATACACAAAATATTGTTATTACACATGAATGCCCTAGTCGAACATCATGGAACCAAGATCTTGACATCTTAGATTTTTTCGAAAAGATCTTGGCAAGATCTTTGGTACAGGATGTCAAGATATTTTTGTTCCTAAGATCCTGCCCATGATCTTGCGTACAAAATCCTAAAAATTATCTTGTATTCAAGATCTTGACTGTAAAATGACTTGTACCCAAGATCATGGCTCAAGATCTTTGATACAGAAATATTTTGACATCTTGTACCAAAGATCTTTGAGTAACCATTGGTTATCATTCACCGTCTTATTTTGGCGATGTCATCCTATATATGAACACTCTATTTTGTGTCTAGTGTTACTATATTTTAGTCGACAGCAGAGTCAAAACTCCATCAGGGAGGCATTAGGGACCGTTCGTCCTAGCGGATGAAATGTTCACCACTGAGCGGTAAATTTCTTTTGTTCCCAACACTTGTTGAAAAAATGCAAAGAAAAAAAGTTAGTTTTGAAATATGACGATTTTTCAAATGTTCAAGATCCTGGGTACAAGATATCAAGAAATATCTGTACCCAAGGTCTTGCGTAAGATCTTGAGTACAAAAATGTCCTGAGATCTTGTACCCATTTTTTCAAGATCTAGTGCCAAATCTTAACGTAAGATCTTGGACAAGATCTTGGTTTCAAGATGTTGGACTAGGGTGCCCATAAAGATGAGATAGGATAGAAACAAATCACAAAAATGAGCATAGAGCAAAAAATGAATAAAAGACGGCAAGTAAAACTGATAGTACAAAATGAGACAATAACAGACTGATAAAGAAGAAGAACATGGTGTTTGATTGATGAAAGTCTAGAATATGTCTAGTAGTAAATGCGTTGAATGCAAGGTCAAAAATCGCAGTTGTCTGAACTGATTTGCGAAAAAGTAATATCATATTTAAGTTTTCTACTTTAGTATGATAAATACAGAACCGTTGTTCTTGGTCACAACAACATGGAAGATAGTTCATTTTGAAGGCGAAATAGTAAATCTCGGATGATAAGTGTATGTGAAGAATGATTCTGTATTACCATTAGAGATCTGCATGGGCACAAGAATTCTCATGGCCGCGGATATGCTGCTGCTGCTGTCAACATGTATGGACTGACACGGACAAGCTGAAAAAAAACACAGACGGGCAGTCGTTCTCTCTGCTGAGCACGAATTTTGGGATATTTTTTAACAAAACGAGTACGAAGAATTGTTTGTAAACGAAGTATGGATAGTGGAAGATATATCAAAGAAAGGGCAATGTGACATAGAAACGAGAAAATTTTCCTTTAGATATGCAAAAGAATGTATCTTTTCCGTTGTGTGGTTAAAGCATGATTTCTTTGCCTTACTACGAATTTTTTGTCCACGGACACGGACAGACATATGCAGCAGTAAAAATCCACAGACAGTCATGGACAAACAAATCCTAGAAAGGTCTACAGGCATGGATGGGTACGGGCAGATCTCTAATTACCATACTGAAGTAGAAAACTTAAATATGATGCCACTTTTTCGCAAATCAGTTCAGACAACTACGATTTTTGACTTTGCATTCAACGCATTTATTACTAAACATATTCCAGATTTTCATCAATCAAACATCATGCACTTCTTTGTTAGTTGGTTATTGTCTATGTTCCTTTTGTGATTATGTTTCTACTCTATCTCATCTTTATGTGCATTCATGTGTAATAACCGTATATTCGTTATTTAAATATTGTCAATAATGCTTACATTGTTTGCAGTATCCTTCATTCCATGAGCGTTAAAACAAGATAGTAAAAAATGATTAACAACATCCATTCTTGATTAATATAGTGTAGGATGATTTATCATCTACATATCTGTAGAAGCATATCAATATTTTCATCATTTAGCGCCTAATTTAATTTTGTTTATCTGATTATGTACTAACAGAAATATACAATTATCTTTTTATATCTTATCATATTCTATATTTTGTATATCCCATGTTCAACATAGAAGAAAGAAATTTAAGCTAGTTAAATAGTTTATTCAAATTTGGTTTAGAAATCTAGCATTAGTACAGTTCGCACTCAACACTGACTGTTCAGTTTTCTCGTCGTTATTGCTCATTTTTATACAATCTGACGAGAGAAGTCCACCAAGTTGAAAATCGTTTGCGGGTCAAAATCCAGTAGGTCATAGGTTATCGACGGTCCTGAATCCGAATATTACCATGAGACCGGCTGCCAGGCCTTGCATGATCTGGTTTTCCAGAAACTTCAGACAATCCGCAAGATTTTTCTAAATAAGTCATGCTTGTAGTCCGCGAAATTATGATCAAAATGAAACATCCCCCCGCTCTGCACGGTCTTTCTTTGTAAAGTTAAAGAATTTACAGGATGAGCCCTAAATTCCTTTTTCCTTTTTCTCTCTGTAGCTCTGAGGTGACAATGAACATTTAGAGCTTATCTTGTAAATTCTATAAATTTGCAAAGAAAGGTAGGTCATGTAGAACTGAAAGATGTCTTACTTTGATCCTACTTTCACGGGCTACTATCATGACTTATTTAGAAAACGTTTTGGAGGTTTTTTGAAGTTCTGAAAATCTGATTTTCTGGAGAATCAGGTCCTGCAAGGCTTATCAGCCGGTCTCATTGTGATATACGAATTCAGGACCGTCGATAACCTATGACCCACTGGATTTTGACCCGCAAACGATTTTTAAGCTGGTGGACTTTTCTCGTGAGTGTATAGAATGCAAAAAAAGATTTACTATTCATTTCAGATATAGTTCAGAAAACTCTTTCTTGTATAATGTTCGGAAGAAAGGCAATCGAAACATCTGGTTTTCACCATCATATAACCAGGATAGGCCCAAATTGCCCTAAGTTC